AATGTAAGTGAGTGGGACGCTATGTTACCAAAATGCTTGCTGGCATATCGAAGCACAGTGCACGCTTCGACTGGTCAAACACCATCTTTTATGTGGACCGGAAGAGAAGTCCGACTACCGTCTGACATCCGATTACCCAGTCTGCAACAGCCACATCCATCGGTGACAGAGTATGTTAGCAAACTCCTTGATTCGCTTCATCAAACACATCAAGCAGCACGTATTCACCTTGGGAACGCCCATCGACGACAGAAAGACTATTACGACAAGAAAGTTTTCGGTGCTCCTTTAAAGGCTGGCGATCAAGTTTGCTTGCACCAGGTACCAACCCCAGGAGTTCCGGTTAAGCTACACCATGAGTGGACAGGACCGTACATAATACAGCGGGTGATATCGGACGTGACATGTGTTATCAAAGATCCCAACAACCCTGCCAGTCAACCCATGATGGTACATTTCAATCGACTTAAGCCATTCTGGAGTAAGACTGACCAATCTGTGGGGGGGCTGAACGAAACGCCTGGGGAGGTAGCAGTTGAACTGGAGGTGCCGGCTCAGGGCGGCTATGATGTGGCAACCGGGGCGCAGCCTCATTAGAGGGGGTGTGGTGTAGAGAAGAATCGATATTGTTTTGGCGCGCGTCCCAAGTTGAATCGTTGCCATAACGGCACTCTCCACCGTTTGCATTTCAGAGCGCTTTTCCTGCTCAATTACCGGAGGAGAATGAGAACACAACGACTTTGGGTAACTGTAACTTCCTTTGTTCTAATTTACCTCATGTTTATTACCATTTTGTAGAGACTACGTATTGTGTAATAGAACTTCGTTCTTAACGCTTAGAGTTCTTCCTTGCTTGCGTGTTACACATTGTATTATCAAAGGTAAGTTAACTGAAATGCAAAACATTTGTTATCATATTTTACGAATTTGACTTGAAGTCTACATTATTTATTAGATACAATTAATTTATAGCCAAATGGATGTAAATAGGAGGTTGTCATTTCCTATTATATGTAGGCAACATTAATATTAGCCTATTTACATTTGACTATTTCTGAAATGTATCAATAAAACTCGCATTGGCCCGGTAAATTTACACTTGTTAGACTAGATCTTTTTGTGTACAAGTGCCTCGGTGCATATACACACAGGTACTTAACATATGGGGAATCACATCCAGACAGAAAACTGATTTAGGTTTATCGCTGCACCTCACTCTACTAAGAAGTAGATTTTTACCTATCTTGCAGCTACAACTGAAAGTGCAATTTTATGGCACTAAGAACAACCGTTCTCGTTCTATATACTCTTCTAGCTGTAACAAATATTAACGCAGATCTACGGTATTAAATAATACATTAGCATTATGTCTTATTTAATTATTACTGGTCAACACCATTGAAACTTGTGTTTTATTATTTCTGTTTGGAGTACATGCATTATCTGGATTGCGACACCCAATCTTAATTGAGGCTGTGGTTCACATTAAAGCAAATTGGAGCTTTTACCAACTGCATGAACTGTTTAGTATAATATACACGGCATTTGGCGTGGTTGGACGCAGTAGCCTTGTGAATCACAGCTCAATGAAAATACAATATAAATGTTGATAATATAAGCAGTAGATAGATTAAACGCAGTACAAATCTGCAAGTGTTTCTTAAGCTAGTAAATAAGGTATACAGTGACGCAATCATTAAAATATTGTTCAAATGGCAAATCAGATTTTGCGACCACTACAAACAAGATTACATGTGATACTATTAAGTTATGGACCCCAGAGCATTTGCTCGTGTGCTGATTCTAATTTGGCTAAATGTTACTTGTATCCGCTCTCATGGTCTTGTCCCGTGAACTTTTATCGTGCTTCGCTGCACCCGTTCAGGCGGGAATATTCGAAGCAAGGACATTCGTCGTCGTCAAATAATATAGATTCTTTGGCTACTGCTAAGAACAGTTTGCCTAAAGGATGTAGAATCTTAAAGCCTTGCAAAGGTTAACCACAATTAGGAACGCTATCCACGCAGAAACGAACCTCAGTTATGTCGGCCAATGAGATAGTCAAAATTAGTCAGACCTATCGCAAACTCGATGTCGACGTGCTCCAACCATTCCATGGTGCTAAAAATTTTATACGAAAAATCGTTTTCCCAAAACTAGTTTGCTAGTGTTTAGGTCGAAGTTCCTGCGCTTAGCAATATCGGCCGACAATTTTTTGACAGAATGTAACTAGTTTTACTGCCAGCACCTCGGTAGAACCATGTAAAGGCCAAGCTTCAACAAGAATGTTGATCCAGGCAATGGCGATTTTCACAATTTTAAACACACCAATAATCGACAGCCGTCTGCTTAATAATGTAACGAGAATTATTTTTGTCGCCAACGACCTTCTGGTTATCAGTTGTTATTTTCACACATTGTGTACTGAACTATCTTAAGCAACCAAGATGGTTCAGGTGATCGTTAGCTGGTCCTATAAGCACTGCACAATCTTTTTTAGAGTGCAAATGGTTCTCAAATCTATATTCGGCCGAGGTCTTCTTCCGGCAGGATCCTATATAGAGCGTTAATCTTCAATAGTTTTTCCAACTTTAAATAATGCAATAAATTTTACAGCCCGTTCAATCATAATTAAATCACTATCAGACCCATGATTTCAGAAGGTTTTGTATACAAATCGGTTTTGGTAGAGTTATATTGTGGCAACGTGACCTGGCCTGAAGAAGCTCTTGTGTCAAGGGCGAAACGTTGCCACAATAAAACACTACCAAAACCGATTTGTATACATAACCTTCTTAAATCATGAAATCACAGTCGGTTCCAAACATATTCCAATATATTGAATCACTATACGGACCACGTGTTCGAAAATTGGCTAGTGAATTTGTGCGTTTGGCTGGTGTTGAAGCGAATTGGGGACCTGGCCTGAAGAAGCTCTTGTGTCAAGGGCGAAACGTTGCCACAATAAAACTCTACCAAAACCGATTTGTATACAAAACCTTCTGAAATCATGAAATCACAGTCGGTTCCAAACATATTCCAATATATTGAACTATCAGACCCAGCTTTTTAAGCCACAGAAGCATTATTAGATTTATTGTCAAAAACATTATTTTTAAGGAAAGATCATCAAAATAAGATAGCTGAAGTTAATAAATGTACTTAGCGAATGTTCTGCAATAACAGCTATAGTGAATTAAAAATTCCAGATAGTAAATATTTCAAAAGTGAAAATAAAAACTATTAAAATCATACTAAATATCAGATTCTGCATAGAGGGGCAAGTGGTCGGTAAAGGGGAAGCTAAACGGGCCGTTTAGGTACAGAGCATCTCAAAAGGCAGAAGCCAGTGAAACAGGCACCTAGTCTTGCCAGAGTATGCATCAAACCAAACAGATTCATCGCGCTCCGGACCCTAGACTAGCAGTTGGTAGACGTCAACTGAAAGAAGTTCAAAGTGTAGGTCTTCTTTTCTCTTGACCACGTCGTCGTTTTGCCACCCCACCTCTTAATCCATCTCCGCCGCTGCCACGCACCCAACACACGTCGCGGAAGTCGGTGTGCTGGCATGCCGAACATGTGGCTCAGCCATCGGAGCCCGGTACCAGAAACGACGGTTTTGAGCGGTTAAGTCGCTCTTACTGCACCCAAGACACCAGATTGAAACGCTTACTGCTCACGCGGAGCTTCCGCCAGGTATGACCAAACAGCGAAGGGGCCGATGTTAGATGGTAACCCGACTCTTTAAGTGTGTCGATTGGACAGATCAAAATTCACAAACGTACATGAGTCCTGACCGCACGCCTATATTGTACTATCTGCCAGTCAGGGCAAGAATGATGTCGCCATGGTGGCAGAGAGAACTCGACAAAAGCGCCTCGAAAATTTGCTATACGGCTTATGGTGATCTTTTATTCTACAGGTGCTAATATTGCTGCCAAGATTCGTGAATCCCTGGACGATATTTAGCTGATCCCAAACAAGTTTCCTTGCTGGTCCAGCTCCCTTCGAATCACGGAGGAGGACTTTGCATTTCGTGGGTCAAAGTACCGTGTGAATCGAATGGCAGTCTGTGCTAAATTGTTCAGCATGCTGTTTGGCATGTTTATGAGCTGTCACAAATTAAGCACTTGTTATCGGCGTAATCCAAGTCAGGGAGTTGCTCTCCTGGAAGCACCCACACACTCTGTAAGCCGTGTCAAGTGAACGCGGCTTCCACGAATTCATCGATCGCGAACTTAAAGTGCATAGGTGACATCAGGCATTCTATTATTACACAGCTGGAAATATTAAACGGCATGTACAGCCTCATATAATTCCTTATCTTGAAGAACTATGCGCATAAAGCCGGTTTAATAGATGAAATTAATCTAGTGAAAATAATGATTAGCAAAAAGATTTCCTTCTACTCCTAATCTAAATAAACATGTACAACACTTGAGACAGAGACGCGTTTTGGCTAGTGAGAAAGATTTTGTTTTACAGTAATACCTTACTCCTTTACCGAATAAAAGGTGGTCACTTCTGCTCCTAATTACCGTTAATATCCAATTCGAAATACCGATTAAATTACCGAGGTAGTCTTAAGGAGTCGGCACGCTTAATAATGCGAAGATGATGACCTCAGTTGTAACAGGGAATGCTTTGTGGTTAAAGTTATGGAGCTGCATGATGGGTATGCTAATAAAGAAAACCATCTCCTCAATCTTGTTTAACATGTACTTCCTGAATGCATGAATGATTTGGCCAAAAAGCTTGAGTCTAAAAGCGCAGTTGCTGTGAACATAAAACTCACTTAATTTGTAAGCAGGAAAGGCGCAACCCAAATTTAATAAAACTGTCCATATTTTACGTAATATTTATGCGTAGTCTGCAGATACATCTCTTCCTCTAGAGGACCTTCAACCTTATCAGTCACTATAGATCTTTGCTAGAGACATTGATAAACAAAATAAGAATTTACATTGTGCTAGCTTGACCGAAATAACCAGGAAACTTTATTAACAACATGTTAGCCCACCTCGTTTCGGTGGATGAGGGTCCCAATCAATATCCAGCACGTTTCCAGCCTCCACTTCAGGCCAATGTGGATAAAGCATGCCGCGCGACTGAGACTTTGAAGATCGTCTATTAAACAGGGGTTTGTGTTGTGAATTTTGTCCGAAAGTTTCATCTTCGAAAACAGAATTGAACTTTGCATCATCCACCAAGCTGTCAAGTGTCGGCGCTTCAGCTGAGTTTAAGTGTTTAGCTTCGGATTCTTCTGACGTGTTCACCAAGACCAGTGCGGTTAGAAAAATCATAGTGACAGTAAGAAGCCAATGCATAGCTAAGGTTTTATTACGAAACGGGTTCACGGAAGACAGGTAAGATTAGGTAATTCCACGTCGAAATCTGAAACCTAGTGTTCCGTGTATAAACCTCTGCATTATTTTCAAATATTGTGCCAAAGGTACACAAATATTTAACTTAAAGTCTGCCACCATTGGCGCACAAACTTATACATGGCGCTTGACCGGCCAAGCAAGACCTTTACTGCAATGAGCCAATCAGAGATGAGGAAAAATTTCAGCGTAACACGTGCGTCGCCGTATTAACGGACGCGCACGCCCACCCCTGTCCACTGCTATGATCCCAGTTGAGCGAAGCCACATTGCAAATCACTGACCACTGGGAACAAGCCATAGCGTAAGTGACAAACTTTCATCTAATTAGTATGGATACTACAGTTTCAGTTGACATGCTGTTCCTAAACTTATCGGTGAGTAGCAGAACGATAAGTGGACAAACACACCATCAGTCCTTTGGGATACGTACAGTCCTCAGCCAGGAAGAAAGTACTTCGCTCTCCGCAGATTGCTCGCAACTACGCTACTTGAATTGTGGCTAACACTAGGCCAAGGCTAAAGTGCCAATCAAAGCAGAATATGACAAAATAAATTGCAGAAATATGGGTACAATGGTCATTTACCTTGTATTTATCTGGAAATAAGGTAGACTGAAATCGCAATAAAGAGAAACTCTCAATTCATACAAAATGACAGGATGGGTATTCGTATATGTATATAAAATATTTGCTAGTCGAGAAGAAACATTGAAACCAAACTAAACAAAAGCTTGCCGACTAAACCCTAGAGGGTTGCATTTTCCCCGCTTGACAATTTAAGCGACTTACTTGCTTCGCTCACGTGAAGAATCTGCAGCATACCAATGACTGTAGATAAGCTGATTCGCATCTGTGGCTTATTTTGGCCAACGCATGTAAATGTATTAAATTACATGTCCATTACCAGAGCGGGACCATCTGTGTGCATTTCACTTTTATCCTCAAGGCGATTTCGGTAGCAGAAAGCAGAATATCAGTAATAATGGTATTGGGACCAATTTTATCAACGCTACCCAAACGAACAAAGAGCACTTTGATCTCCATACACTATTAAGTTCAATAATGGTTCTAAAGGGACGCGGTGTCGCTACGAGAGTATGAAGAGGGTCAAAATGGTCTTCTGCTCCCTGGTCGGCCATTTTTGTAGTGGTGAACCAACTAGCTAGCCAAAATAATTACGAGGCTATTGACGTGTATTTGCAGAATATATTGGAGAATAGACTGCAGTCTGTAGTATTCACCAATCCTAAATGTTTAAAATGGCGCTAATCTATTCCAGCTAAAAATTTGCTCCGAACTTCGAAGGTGCATTTAGCTGCAGAATTCCTGATCTATCCGAGTATGTAGTTAGACTGAAGCCCTGAGTATACGGCAATGGCAAGAACGATTGCATCATGAATCTAAAATAACTGAAGTACAATATTACTATAGTGAAGCTTACATCAAGTTGTTTGCTTAACTGAGTTTGAATCGATGATATTTATCTGCAGCAATCACAAAGTTTCAATTTAACGTCCTTAATTAGATTGTGGTATTTGCTGAGTGAATCATGCTGTTCGGTAACACTTATCAACCTCATACGTTAGACAGTAGGAGTTACCTGCTAAGTTTGCCGTAGTCTTCTTACTACTTCTTGGAATATTCAATTCAATCGCCCAATCGACTTATCACGCTGTAACTGAGGGTGCCAGACTGTTTAGAATGAAAGGGCATTCAAGAACTTTACGAACATTGGCATAGTCCATTTATGCCACACATTTGTGAAGGCTCAAAAATCGCCCGAGAATCATCAATTTTAAAATGTGCCGGTTCCATGATTTCGCCCTGCTTAAAGTGTTTGACGGATGGTCTCTGTTGATAACAAATAAGCGATGCTAACCAATAAAGCCAAGTAACCAACCGGATCTGAATAAAATGTAGACCATACTGGCTTTAGAAGCTAACTTATCTCATCTTGACATAATCCGATACATTCGGTCAAAGGCGGTAACGAAGGCGCTTAATGATAGAAGTTGTTTACAGCCACATAAGCCATTTTCCAAAAAAATACTTATGAGCCCATTGGTCCATCTTTGATCATATGCTTGCTGTATACTACACATTAATTTGCAAGAATGAAACTTTCTTAAGTTATCTAATGGCAGTAAGCTACATATATTGTCTTCTTTTCTCCCATAATTTTGTTTATGTAAGCTAATACTTAAGGAACTATTGGTGATCCTATTGCAAGGATAAACCAAATATTCCAAGAAAAATTCAATCTGATAGACTATTGTTACTTTTATACAATACGTTAGCTAAACTGGATAGTATTGGATGATTGTATGGCAAATAGCAAGCACTCCGATTAAAATGCGAAACTGTAGCAAACAAAACTATTGGGAACACATCCAGTAAATAAACGAACGTCTGTATTTATACTACTGCAAACATGTGTGGATACCGCTGCTCGGTAAGTTAATGTCACACTTACCGTCGGTCATGCTATTAACGCCTGGGACAACGTACGCAAAATCGCACAGACGATGATATCACATGGTCGAGTAACTACTCGAGAAAAAAGGTGAATGATAACCGCTACTAGATGCCCATAACATTTATTTTTAATCCAGATATGAATGTGATATAGCCGGCGGCTATTCTTTATAATAGTCCGGCACCATATTCTGCAGCATTCTATGTAGGAGCAATTTATCGCGGTGGATGCTCTGATTTGCAACACGTTCAAATATCGGACTCCTTTCTACCTATCCACCCACTGATTCGCTTCAATAATATGGTAAACTGCTAGTTTTCGTTGCTAGTCGCTTTTAAATCTAAGGACCAAAATTTTTCTACAATATGTTTATCGATTGGCGCGAGCCCGTTTTCAACATGTTCTGTTTTGCTTAGTTGTGTTCATAAATTCTTACGCCTCCACCCTGTTGACTAGATATATTTGAAGTGGTTCTGCTAACTTCTAACAATAGAACAGCTGGTTTATTTTAACACGAGACACCACTCATGTCTACTATTTGCACGCTATATATTCGGATGGAATTCATATGGCTGTCAACACAACGGTGTAGAATGTTTTGTCTGGTTGAGCATGTATCGATTTGTAACCTGAGTCAACTTTGGAAAAATTAGTGTTTCTAGTGACCTTTGCACAGGAACATTGGTTCAGTGGGTCAAACAAAATGGCACAACGTTGAATGTGCACGTGTCCTTGATCGTGCGAAATGTGTGTCCATTTCCATTTCTCCGTGGTTTTAACGTCTGTTTGTCACCTACTGACAGGTGCATGACAAGTAAATACTATGCGAGATGGTTTTAACAGACGCGCTCAGCAGTAGCAGATTTGAAAGTAGGCAAAAAGCCGAAGGCACTATATGTCCAGTCAATGCAAACTAAGTTTACAGTTAAGTGAGATATTTGTATACTTTTCTTAAGGTTTTTTTGATTTTATACTGGCGGTGAATTAAGATATTGGGGCACTAAATGAGTCCATAAAGTTATTGATTTACCGATTATAAACATGTAGAAAATTCCATTTTTTTATCCAACCTAAGCATAAGGAATAAGCTAGACACTTTAAAGTTAGGCTCGAAGGTTTAAGTTGTATAATTTACAGGGTTGCTAATCAAATACCACCGTATATTTAAAGAACGAAAACATTCCATTCCAGGAGGTACTTGCTCTTTTATTGCTTAACAACAATTACTGAAATTTGAAGTAAGAAGTTACCAATCAAGAGTTCATTTATTTAATCATATAAAGCAGTACCCCAAGCTAAAGTGTCAATTAGATATCAACGGGTTTGTGTTAAAATATTGTTCTTTTGCAGGCGGGCAGAGATATCAGTTAACTCTGTATAGTGAGAAAATATGAAGCTAGCTAACAAGGACAAAAGGATTCACTATATGATAAACACGAGTGAACGTCAATAAACTACCTGCTGTCTACTTAACAACCATTAGAAGTATATTATTGTTGCTCTGGCCGCTACTTATTTCATACCGGTTTGCAGGTAGCGGATTCCTGATTGCATTTATGTGTCCCCTCGTGCTGTCAGTTGTTTGAAGCAGAGGAACAACTACCAATGCGTAAATACTCTCGAGTGCATATGGCAAATAATTGATTGCTTCAGACCAATGTCGATGCACAATAATTCAAGCCGTAATTCTCCTATTACGCCTTCATCTATCATGGAGCAGAAACAATCAACATAATTCCAGGTAGACGGAAATCTCAGTGACATCCAAGGAAGCTTTAGGTGGAAAAACAGAATGATAAATTATGTATACTATTTTTCCGATTGAACATCGGCTATTTAAAAATAGCTGTATCAATAGTTACATGGATTATTTGAAGAAAATAATACTATCTCCGCCACTCGGCACTAAACTTGTACCCAGGTCTAATAAGGCCCGGTTAAAGAATTCATTGCACAAAGATTTTTCCCCAGTTTAACACCCTATGGCAACATTCACATCTGCTAGAGTAAGGAAACTAACACCACGGGTGAGAGTATGGCACATGCCAGTTTTAAACCCAAGGCCTATCTCGCTGCCGGGACCCAACACCGTGAATGAATTGCACGAAAAGCAAGGTAAGGCTGGTAACATGACGAGGAAAAGAAGGAAATGTAGAATTCGTAAGGGACAAAATTGTTTAAAGAAAAATATCAAAGGGCTAAAATCGATGCTGTGCTGAACCGACATTTCAATTTTTGCAAATGGAAACTTGTCATCTCAGTGCATCATCTGATAGATTATATTATCTTTCATTTTATGCTATCGGATTGAAATTATTCATCTACGATTGATAAGTCTGCATTTCCGCCTCAAAAGCATTTCCGTAGAGAATGATCAGGTTTATAACCATCAGCTACATTCCGGTGTCATAGGTCTGTCGGTGGCTCGAAAGTCCAGAATACGAATGTTAAACTATCCGTATTTAATATTCCTTCCAGAAAATCACAGTAACAGTGATTTATGAATGAGTATGAGGCGTGTTTTGGCAAGCGCAACTGCTGTCTGCGCTATAACTTGAATGTGGAGAAGTTCAACACAGAGTTCAACTGCTCATCAGCGA